AAGAGCTGGCTAAAAACAAGCCTGAGCTACCAGCCTAGCTTTCATAATTAATAACAAATCTCCATGCCATGATTTGGGATCTGGGTGGCCAGACAGAGAAAGGCTCACAACGTGTTTACGTCAGGCATGTTAATCACGGTGAAGCCTTTGTAATAGCCATTGGGTAAGCTCCCCATAACTATCAAAGTTGAAGTGTGACTATCAAACTCAATTGATTTTGCTTTTCTGTTTCTGCGATAAACACCATAACCAAAAGCAATGTGGGGAGAAACATGGTCACGCAGGTTATAGGTCACAGGGCAGGAATCTGGAGTCAGGGAGTTATGCAGAGACCCTGGACAAACACTTGCTTACCTGCTTACTCTGTGTTTCTCTCAGTCCTGCTTTTTTATACAATCCAGGACCCCTCCCCCCTTAGAGAACAGTACCATCTCCTCCATTAATCCTCAATCAACAAGTTCCCACAGACTTGCCCGCAGGCAAATCTTACGGAGGCATTTTCTCAACTTGAGAACTCCACTTCCCAAATGACCACAGCTTGTGTCAAGTTGACCTAAACCAATAAGCACAGGCTTCCCTCTTCAGCTTGAAGGTGAGAGCACGGCGCTGAGAGAGGCCAGGGGAACTCAAGGCCAACAACCTGGAGGCAGGCAAGACCTGAAGAAAAAACTGTATCTGGAGGTTTCTGTCCTGCCTGATCCCATAGCTGCTTTGCCCCCAAATAAACACACGGATGCTATAATAATTGTTAAAATGTTGGCCAATAGCTAGGGCTTTTTACTGGCTATCTCTTTCTTAATCATTAACCCGTAACTACAAATCTATGTATTTTTACGTGGTCTTATCTTACCAGAGAACTCCTGGTGCCTGCTGTCTTCCCAGACTCTACATGGTGCCTCCTCATGGCCTCTCTCTCCTCTCTCCCCAGCATTACCCTTGCCTCCTAGTCCCCCCTATTTTCCTGCCTCTATCGGCCAATCAGTGTTTTATTCATCAACCAATAAGAGAAACATATATACAGGAGACTATGCCCCATCAAAAAACCCAGGGAGGTGTGAAGCTTACTGGCTTGCCCCTTGGCTCATGCCCAGCCAGCTTTTCCATCCAGCCCCAGGATGAAGGATGTTCCTAGGGATGGTGCTAACCCACACTGGCCCTCCTCCATCAAGTAACAACGAAGAAAACAACTCCACAGACACACCCATGGGGAGAAAAAAAACCCGATGGAGGCAATGCGTAACGGAGGTTCTCCAGGCCCGAGTGCGTCAAGTGGACAGCCAAGGTTCTCTATCACCAGAGCGTGGCCAGACTTCTGAGGGCAGGTGGGACTTCGTGGGGTCTGCTGGGTTAAGGGCCTCCTTCTAGGACGGGCACAAGCAGCTAAGGAATTGTTAAACGTCCTTGCCCAGCCCCCTGCCTTCTGTGCTTCCCCTTCTCAGCAAGGTCAAGGCCACAGCGGTAGCTGCTTTTTCCTGCACAGGTTTGATACGCACGCCAGTGAGAGCCTAGCGGGAGACCGGGGAGGAAGGGGGCAGCTTAGTCTCCCTTCCCATTCACTGAACATCTTAAACCACTTCAGGGGGCTTAGGAAAGCTGGGCTGTGCTTTGCCAAACATGCTTCCCTTCATTTTTCAGACCCAAGTGTATTCTACAGGAAATGAAACCCACATGTTCCTGATCACTTATACTTAAATCATCAAAATATTGCCTTTTAGGGGCTTTGTGTGTCAGGAAACCCTCTGAACCTTTCTCCCAGCGGTGTGTGCTGCCTAGGGGGAAGATAAACAGGAAGCATGATGTGCAGAGGGCATCCCTGATGACCCTGGGTTGGGTCTACGAAGCACAGACCAGACCTTCCTCCTACACAGGGCCTGCAAGGCGAGGTTTTGCCAAACATCTGGGCCCCATCCCTGCCCTGTGTCAGTGGTTCTGAGATGCTGGGCACCGTCGTTTAGCCTCCTGCAGCCTCAGTTTCCTCCCAAGTCAATGGGACCTTTTAGAGAGTTAATTTGATTATAATAGAAACATGGAGAAGAAAAAAATCTTAAGAGACGCGTCCACACAGCGCTATGTGTGGCCCTGATTCATTTCACGTTCCAAGCTGACTGCAATTCATTTCATCTGGTGCATTTGACTTTCTGTGCCTGCTTTGGGAAATCTCGCCTGATACTATGAAATTGCCATTTCATTGTTTTTTTTCAAGACCCTGGTTGTGTTTTTCAAAATTGATATTGTATCTCGCAGAAACATTCTTTCTTTTTCTCTATAAATATGCACTTTATTCGTTCTGTGACTTTTTTAATTAAACTTTTTCTTCCTTTTTTAAAAATATATTTTTAGTGTGTGTGTGTGTGTGTGTGTAGCTGCTTGTATGTGCACACACCCTGCGCATGCAGTGCCTGTGGAGTCTAGAAGGTTCCCTAGAACTGGAGACACAGGTGGTTGTGAGCTGCCATGTGGGTGCTGGGAATTGAACCCAGGTCTTCTGCAAGAGCACCAAGTGCTCTTAACCACTGAACCATCTGCCCATCCTTATATTTTTCCTTTTTTAAAATTGCCATCATATATCTGTAAAAATGGGTTGGTTTAGGTATGCTTTCACAATGCGATTCTATTTCTCTTTACCTCTCTTTACCCCAAGGCCTCCTCCACTGCCCCACTAGTCTTCCCAACTGTCCCCTTTTTGCTTACATATCTGTCTTTCTTTTAAAAATCTAGATGATGCACGTGAGAGGAAACCCTTTCCAATTCTGGCTTCTTTTGCTCCAGTTCTGTCCATTTCCTTGAACACGACGGGATTTCATCATCCTATGGGGCTGAATATATCCGTGAAGTACTGCAATCATGCCTACCCGTCACTCTCTCTCATCCTTCTTTGCTTCTGCATTTTTTCCTCCCTGCATGTTCTTTGTGCAGTTTTTGTCTTTGTGAATCTGGCTTAACTTTAGAATCACTATCTTCCCTTTTCTTTTTTCTTTTTTCCCTGCAGACAGCATCATTCCATTCTTCACGGCTGAGCAAACCCTCATTTAGACCACATCCTCTTCATCTTGCCGAAGACCTCGGCGGGTTCCACGTTGGTTGCTGTGATTATTCTAATAAGATAAGCATAGATGTGCAGGTGTCACTACCACACGACGGATCTGATTTCTCTGGGGGCACACACCAAAGTCATTTTAGCCGCATTGCGTGTAGGTTCTATTTTTAATTTTCGTGAGTCATCTGTACTGATTTCTATACTGGCTACTCCAACGTCTCCATCAGCAGTAGAGAAAACATTTTCCCCCTCTGCATCCTTGTCTATGTTTACTTTTCTCTTTGTTGACAGTCATTATGACTTTGACGCAATGGAACATCCACATGCTTTGGGTTTGTATTTCCCTGATGGTTAAGGGTGTTGGACACTTTGTCTTGTGTTTCTTGACCATTGCTCCTTCATTTGAATGTGGCTATTCATATCATTTGATCTTTTGTTGTTTAATGCTTTAATTAGCAATATAGTCTATATAAGTAATTCTCTGTTGGATAACCATTTGGCAGAGGGTTCCTCCTATTCTGGAGGCAGTAACTCTCTCTACTGATATTTTTTTAATTATGCAGAGGATTTGTAATCTAAAAACCTGTAGCTCTTTGTTTCTCTATGCACAAACAGCAGACTTTATGACAAAGGAGTTAGATAAACATTCTCCTCACAACAGCCTCAAAGGGATAAAATAAAACAGGAATAAACCCAACCAAGGTGAAAGACCATGGTGAAGAAAGGAATTCCAGAAAGCACTCAAAGATACTAAGGCCACCCGTATTCATAGTTCAGCTCTCCCAACCACAAAGCCCGATTGTTAGGGACAACCAGGTTAAACATGAAGTTCATGTGTGAAAATAAAGAAAACGGGATCTCCTCGTCCCACACTAATAGTTGTTAGACTCATGAATATATTGTTTCTCCCATGCTTGCTTCCTCTCTGTTCCATCCCTAAGATTGCAAAGCAACCCCCAGATAGCAATCGACATGTTAATTCAACTACCAGAACATCATTCCCTCCTCTGAGGAATATGGGGCAAAGAATTTGGAAGAAAAAGGTGTAGGGAAAAGGGACCAGCCAAAGAAATACATCCTGACCAGAGCCAAAGAAACACACTTTGGCCCTGCAACCAGAACCAACAATGCATCCTGACCCTGAAACCAGTGCCAAAGAAACACACTTTGTTCCTGGAATCAGAGTCAGTGAAAGAAATACACCCTGGCCCTAATTAGAGCCAAAAGTCTCAAAAGGGCCAGAGAAGGAAACACACTCTGGCTCTGAAACCAGAGACAAATCTGACCCTAGCCCTGTGCAGAAAACTAACCAACAATCCTCTAGCCAATGTGAGCTCAGCATTAAAACCTAACCAATCCCTAACCTGGAAGCCCTATATAAACACTGTGTCTGTTCAGCTTGTGGCTGTTTGCACCACCTGGCGCAGTCCTCTGCCACTCTCGCAGAGGGCAACCACTCTCCTGGATTCTTCCCTCCCAATAAAGCCCTTGGATGAGCTTTGGTGAAGACCTTCTTTTGCACGGGAGCAGAGACAACACTAGGCAGAGCAGCAGAGACGACACTGAGCAGAGCAGAGCTAGCAGGGCTGTAACACTTCCGCTGGCAGAGCAGAGTTGTTACACTCAGCTCTCCACTCTCCTGGGAGCAGAGCTGAACTGTAGCAACTTCGTCCAGGAAACCTTCTCCTGCTGGAGCAAAACTGCTACACTGGGCAAACATCCCCAGCTGGAAGACCCTCTCCTGCTGGAGCAGAATTCATACACTGGGGAAGCCTTTTCCCTGAGGCTGCTATGCTTACTGTGGCTTGTGGTAGTCCTTGGCTCCCGAGCTCCAGGATACCTTTCGATTTGAGCTGTGTAACACCCAGTATTCTGTGACAGGATACCTGTCCCACCCAATCCATCCAAAATGCCTACAAAAGGGGGCTGTTGGTCAAGTCAGACAGAAAAGGCAGAAGCAAAGTTGGACGAGAAAGAGTGACAGAGGCCGCTCTGATTGGAATACTTTATGTGTGTGTAAGCGAGTGTCGTCATGAAGCATGCCCTTTGTGCAGAGACACATTTTAAGGAACACACGCTAAACAGGCGGATCTCAAAGTGTGACCTTCAGAGTCATCCGACAAAAGCTGTACACACCAACACAGGCAGATAGTTTTCACCCCGGGATCACACCACAGGAAACTGTGGAAAAAGTTCATCCTTTTCAGGCACAAGGAATGCTCTTGGCCGTGAAATAATCTACTCAGTTACAAGGGTAGTAACAGTAATGAGGGGTGAAAGTTACTAAGAAGCAGTCTGAAGCCTAGGGTCCTGAAGACCCCTGGAAGAGTCACCAGCTGGTCTCACTCGGAGGGGACAGAGCTTCTGCAGATGCATGAGGTTCCCTCTGTGATTCTGTAGAGCCTAAAAACAGGAAAGGGAGGGAGGGAGGGAGGGAGGGAGGGAGGGAGGGAGGGAGGGAGGGAGGGAGGGAGAAAGGGAGGGAGGGAGAAAAAGCAATGAGAAGGAGGAAGAGGAGGAGGGGGGAGGATGGAAAGAACAGAACCATCCCAACAATCCTTGGGACTTAAACATCACAGTTCACCCAGTGCTGGACCCTTCTCCCGAGTTCTTACCCCTCCACTGTTTAAATATAGTTCAATATAGTTTAAAAAATATCTGCAGCTTGAACAGGCACAGAGCAGGCAGGAAACCAGGAAACTTTGGAATGCTCCCCCACTGTGTGTCGGGCATGCCATCCCTATGTGGGAGCATGGAGTACAGGGGACCTTTAGAGTTGGCCCCAGGGGCAGACCCTCAGGCCGGCTGAAGGTATTCCTTTCCCTAATAACCTGGTGGTAGGTCTTACCGATGTCACAGGCGCTTTCCACGAGGTGACACAAGCCTGAATCTTGTTTTCTTGAGCTCTCGCCTCCAAAGCTTTAAGAGTAACCTGCCTCGGGTATTTTGTTACAGTAACACAAAACAGACTAATGGAGCTGGTGGTGTGGTCTCTGCCTTTGATGTATTCTGCCGCTGCCCGAACTGAGCTGAACCCTGTCCACAGAACCTCATACTCAGACAAATTACACAGATATTTAAATGCACATTTCAAAAAGGCAGGATCCCTCTCAATTGCCTCATCCAAGTCGTATATAACCTTTCCTTTGAGTTTGTATTTCGACAAAGATGGAGCAAGCATTAAGGAGGAGCAGAGTGAGAGAAAGACCATGGGGGGGTAGGTAAAATCCCAAATCTGGGCTTATTTTTCGGGGAATTAGGTTGTGTAATTTAAGGCAGACCCGAAAAGTCTGCTCGCTAGACAATGTCTGTCTCATGGCTTCAGTTCAACAATTTTAACATAAACCACCAAGCCTTTTAATATGTTTTTCCTTTCTTACTGTTTTTTTAGACAGGACAGTGAACCCCCCCCCCCCAGCTGACATCCTAAACTGCAGCTTTCTTAAACTTGACTCAGCTCAGACGAGCACCTCGTAGCTCTTGTCAATCAACAGTCTCAGAAGGCAATGAGAGCCAGAGTGTGGGCAGCCTGGAGGGGCCTCCACCCTGTGTCCACGAGCAAGGGGAGGAGGTTCTATGTGTTTGTGCTTCCTCTTATTAATTTACTGACAGATGCACGGGATAGGCCCCTCTCACAGTGAGGTGAGCTAACTGACACTCAGAGATCATGCATGCCCAGGCGTTTAAGGGGGGGTCCCGCGAGGCACTTGCCAAGCAGGGCGAGGTCCAGTTAGAACAGCAGATTCAACCCGGGCTCTGCTCTTGCAGTCCTCCAGACAGGCAGACTCAAAAGGATACTCGGAGGAGAAATGAGGCTTATGCCAGAGCTGCATGGTGCGCACTGGATGACTCCCAAACTTTCCAAACAGTCACAGCTGAGTTTATCCTGCTAAATGAAATGGATATATACAAATAATTCTGCTAATTGGAACAGCAAATTTCCTTGGGTTTCTCTGTTGCTCCCTCCCCTCTCCCCACCTTGGGTGGCGGTGGGCGGTGAACATGCAGCTATGGCTTCTTCAAGCAGGCTCCCTCTCTCTTTTCTCTCTGCGGTGATTTTCCACATCACCCATTGCCCGGCAGTGTGCTGACCACATACACCAATGAGTGGCTGGAGCACACCTTCTATTTTTGTTTTGCGTTAAAAAAAAAAGCCATAGTTTCTGTTACATCCTGTGCTTTGCAAGGGACTTGTCAGCTTTTGACAACGGCATCGCATGCCGTTCTGGGGGCCCGCTGACTAATGTAGGCTTGGACTCTCGCAACTCTGCTTTCATCCTGGAGGTCTCCAGCAAAGAGGGTTTGGAATTTCCTTATGTGGGTACCCATGCACCTGCGTGTGGGTGTGTTTGCTCATGAGTCTGTCCATGGGTGCAAGTTGGAGGTCTTCCTCTATTATATTCTACTCTATTTATTTATTTACTTATTTATATATTCATTTATTTTGAGACAGGTCTATTAGTGAACCTGGAGCTCACTGATTGGCTAGACTGATTGACCAAGGAGCCACCTTCCAACCCCCAGAATCTGCTTATCTCCACTTCCGGAATCCCCAGCACTGGGGTTACAGACGTGCCTGGCTTTTGCATGGCGCTAAGGATCCAAAGTCAGGTCCATGTGGTTGACCGGTAAGCACCCTACCCGCTAAGCTATCTCTCCAGCTGTTTGCTGCTGTCTTTACTTTCTCCATCAGGACTAGGATGGTTATAAGGACAGTTTAGGGCTCCCTTCTTTCTGTAGCCTTAGGCTTTATAAGCACCGAGAAGGGCTAATGGCAACATCAACATAATCAATTGTGCTTCGCAGGAGACATTTAGCCCGTGTGGGGACGTTCACTTGCAGAGATATGGTTAACAGAATTAAAGAGTTCCCTATAGGGGGCAACTTTCCAGCACCATGCAAGGGAACCCCAGGACAAAAGGAAGCAATGAATGAGTTAGCCTTAGATGTGAACCTTGCTGAAGAGGCTAGCCTCTGAGATCAAGTTCTCATCTCCTTGAGAAAAGTCAGTTTCATAGGGAATAGGGCTTCCAGGGAAAACTTATAGCACTAGAGTCCCCTTCTACTCATCAAGAACACAAAAGAAAACCCCACATCCTGTATCTCAACTGCACAGTGTATGTTTTGCACAATAATGTCCCCAGACTCTTTTACAGAGGCTACTGCCCAATGACAGATTCAGAATCCTCATTTATTTGTATTTATGTGAATATCTACATGTGTGTCCCCGTAGGGGTATGTACACATGATCACGGTGGCCATGGAGGCCAGAAGAGGACACTGGATCTCTCAGAGCTTGGATTATAGGTTGTTGTGAGCACTTAGATGTGGGTGCTGGGAACTGAACTTGAATCTATTAGGAGAGCAGTTGGTGCTCTTAACTGCTAATATCCAGTCACCAGAATTCCCATTGATAAGTGATTAGTATTTTTTTGTCAATGCACCTGATAAGAGCTTGGTCAAGCAGAAACCGAGGGGTGAGTAGGCGACTTAATGCTGGACACTGGTATTGCTCTGTCTAGTCAAACCCTTGCCATTTGCCCGACTATCTAGTCCGTAGGATGCCCATTGTGGGTGCTTGTGTACAGGGAAGCCATGGAGCTGAGCTCTGACATAAAACAGAGTCCTTGGCTGCGGATCCTTAGTAGCGTTCAAGTCTAGCAACACAGGAAGGACATTTCGTGGAAGGCCAATTAGTTCTTCCCATCCGTATGCTGACTTCTTCCTGCTTCAGTACAAAGTGCAAGCCAAGACTTCTCATAACGCCCATGTGCACATGCACTCACGATTGCCAGCTATGCATGCCCAGTGCAAGCATACCCAATGTGTGACATTGGCATTCTACCTTAGTGAGACTGAAAATTATGTGCCATAGACTCTCTCCCACAGTGCCTCACAACCTACAACAAGCTTTGAGACCTGTGTGCCTTTTTTTTCTATTGCCTTGTTTTCCTCATCTATAGGAGCTGAACTATGGTTTTTAGCCCAAGTACTGAGGGCTGGGGGGGGGGTCACAGAATTTCCTGCCGTCACACTAAGAAATCGTGCCCATCCGAGACAGGAACCAGAAGACGCAGCCCAAGACCAGTGGCTTCCTGTCGCTGTGTTGGGTTTGGAGCCCAGGACCTGAGCCCGCTAGGCAAACACTCTATCACTGAGCCATGCCCCTAGACTCTCACTGGGGGATTCTAGGCAGGTACTCTTGCCATTTAATCACACCCTCAGCCCCTCACTGGGGGATTCTAGGCAGATGCTCTGCTGCTGAGTAGCATCCCTGCCTTCCAGTGCAGTTTTCCTATTCCAGTGCCCTCTGCAGTAGCTCGAGACCAAGGGAAGTGACACTTCAGAAACATTGTCTTCATCTAGTTCTTTGACTTAGATGTCAGGGCAACTGTAACAATGGCGAGAGAGAAGTAAATGTGACGTTGCAGAAACTCTCCTGCTCTGAGGGTCCTAAATCCATCATCAGGGTCACCCATCTTCTTAGAGCTCAGAAGGCCTCTAGCTGCCAACAGCACAGTGTATGATAAAGGGAACTCTGCAACCCCCCCCCGGGGGGTTGGATGGTTCTTCTGAGTTCGTTACAACCGTTTTGTTTTTTGTTTTTTGTTTTGACTGGCATGCGGTGTTCAAAAGTTCTAGGGCTTGACAGTGCACTGCAGGCTCAGCAAGGTGTGAACCCTGGGAACACGGAGGACTGGGTGGGATTCCGAGCTCGTCCTTGTCTGCATGTGTATGGCTTTGCAGAGCCCATCCCTCCCTCCCACAAGCCTCTGTAAAGTACTATCTGTTTCCTTTACCCTCAAGAGAGCAAAGCTACATGTGAAGGCCCACGGGATGGCATGATCCATGTGCATACTTGACAGGGGGTTTCTCCCCCTACTGTTTCCTACTGATCCGGCTCTCCAAGTACATCTGATGGGGCTCCACCCTTTTCTGGGGGGACACTGAGAGACTGGGAGCCAGCATCTTCGGAATACATGAGTTGTGTCAATCTGATTTTCTGCCTTGGGAATAGGAAGTAAAAAAGCACAAAAACTGCTGAGTATCTAGAATGTTCGGGGTGGGGGTGGGGGAGAGCGTTCTGAGGTAAAATGGATTAGAAAGCAGTTTTAAGTGCTAATTGTAATTGAAATCAGTGACTTCAAGGGAATAGGGACAGGTCCCCAATGATTACGGAGATGGAGAAAGAGAGAATGTAAGAAGAGAAAAGATGCACTATGCGTGTTTCCCCCTGCAGTAAGGAGAGTGAGAAGAAGCAAGAGAAAGTCAGACTATGAGTGAGCAGTTAGCAGTGGGACCACCTAGGTTTGACTTACGTATGCTGCATAGAATCAGCCATGATGGTGACGGGGCTTGGGTCCATACTACGTAGCAATCCCTTCTACAAAGGGGAGGGCACCCAAGCCTCATGGGAACCTGAAGTGGGACTGGGGGCGTAAGAGCCATGAAGTCATTGGGGAGGACCTAAGAGTCACCGAATGTCTCCCATCCACGTACTAACCAGGGCCGACCCTGCTTAGCTCCAGAGATCAGACGAGATCCAGTGTGCGTTCATGGTGGTACGGCCGTATGTCAGATGGGAATCTCTGCACCAAAGGCAGACCCTTCGCATTTCTGGTCTGCTCGGAGCATGCGGTACACCTCCCAGGCACATCTCTCTTGAGAGAGGTAGTGGCTTCTACGGTTGGTCTCTGGGTCGGTGAATATGGAAGAATGCTACCTTGATCCCGTCCCATTACTAGAGAGGTCGGCCCTGCTGGGGAACTTCACTGCAAAGAAAAGAGGAAGGCAGTGAGCTTCAGCCATGATGGTGCCAGCGGCCAAAGTGAACCAGAGGGCCAGTGAGTTGGGACCGTGACAAGCCACTGGGAAGGCGAGCTCAGAGAGAACAGAAGACCGTAGTCACGTCGGACAATGAACATTTTGCACCCTGGTTACATGACTTCAGATTGGTTCCCTTGGATCTTTTCGTATTGCCTCTAGGTCTAGAGAGAGGAGGTCGGCGGGGGGAAGGGGGGGCAGGCATATTGAAAATAATGGCAAGCAGAATAGTTGCGGCTAATGTTTGCTGATATTAATCATACCGTGGGGAGACTTGATGGGAGCTTGTGCAGTGATTGTGGCAACGGGCCTACTGTGTTACAGACTCATGATAAAACTGATTAGCAGATAAGGAAACTGAGGCAAGGAAAGAAGGAAGTAAAGGAGGGAGGATGATGGGGTGGAGGGATGGGGGTGAGAGAAAGGAAGAAGAAGGGAGAAAGGGACAGATTAAAATTTCATTTATGGTCAGACAGTTAATAAACAGGGACAGAATCCAAGCCTGGGCAGTCTGAAAGCCCATAGTGCTCTTTCATCTCTTAGCCTAAAGCTGTCAATAATGTTTGGCTCTTGTAACCCAAGAGACCAGGGTCCCTCCAAGATCAATCTTGTAGTGCTCCTGTAAGGTGACTGGATCGGAGCCAAGCTCCCAGCTCCTCCATGACTGAGAAAGGAGGTTCTGGTCTACTTTCGAGTCCTATGCTCTTGTGGATCCCTTATTTACGTTTTCTAGCACTTTCTCTGACGTTTGGAGAAGCCCCCACTAGGACTCGAACTTGAGGCTCCAGGCTCAAGGACACTCAAGAGGTTTTACCATTACAAGAGGCTTACCTTGCAAGTGCTTCATTCAACATGAAGGTGCCCTTGGATGCCTAATAGGGTCACTCCTTCTGGCAAAGCCTGTGAGACTTTCTGCAGAGGGAAGTGTCTAAGGAGGGGTCTCGTTTGTTCCCTGAGTAAGGTAACACCGGTCCACATTCTCATAACTCTTGACTTGATGGTCTCTGCTTCTGCCAAAGCGGAGGCCACAGGATTTGGGTTTAGTGCACGCCACCTGCATCATGAGGTGTATCCATCCAGGGTCTTACCAGCCCTCGGCCTTGGCAGTTCTCACAACCTTTAGGAACCCTGCAGGGGTCTGGGTTCTCAGGAAGAGGGTTCCCCCCAATCCTCAGCTTCCGCTTTTACCCTTCACAGGCACCCGCAAAGAGAAAGAAACCGCCCAGCTCACTTCTTGACGTTTGTCACAGCAGAGAGGGGTTAGGACAGCAGGAGCCTCCTCAAGAAGTGCCTCCTCGGCAGGTTTCCCCCAGCCATGGGAAGTGCAGGTCACATCAAGGCTAACCCTGTTCACAGCAGCCAGATGGGTGGTTGGGGAGAACTCGGAGTGCATGAATAACGCAAAGAAATAGTAAATCCTATCATCCCAGGGGAAGGTGGATGAAACCCGAGACCAACCAGAATGTTTGGTGAGATAAGTCAGACTCAATATGTTTTTCCACATGTAAATACATGTGTGTTTGCAGTATGAGTGTGTGTGGGACATGTGTAAATGTGAGCGGTATGAGTATGTGTGTGTGCGACATGTGTAAGTGTGAGTGTATGTGTGTTGACATGCGCATTGTCTGTATGTGCATGGTATGAGTGTGTGACATCGCGCGCACGCGTGTGTGTGTGTGTGTGTGTGTGAGAGAGAGAGAGAGAGAGAGACATGACAGTAGAAAGTACAAGGGAGTTGAGGCAAGGGAATAGTGAGACAGGGTTCAGGGGGCAGGGGGAATGGGGTGAACACGTCGAAGTGCATGAAATACTCAAGGGACAATGTCCTCATGAGACTCATCCCTTTATACAGTGGACATACACTAACAAAAAAAAAATTAGCGGGGAAAAAGCCAGTACTTTAGTGAGTGAGGTGGTGTTTTCATAATTCTCCCCTGTACTATAGAAGCTTCCTGCCAGCCTTGGGTCTCTAAGATGCCCATGGCAGATGCTGTCCCTACCAGTGAACTGACAAATGAATACAGTTATGGCCATGACTGGATAATGTAGTGAGAGACAGGGCCACAGGACAGAGTTTTAACAGACAAGTCAGAGTAAATAACATGATACATACATATATACATATATATATATGTATGTATACTATATGTTGTATATCACATATAATACACATATGTGATGCTTTTTTATTAGTTCTTTAGGGATTTTGTATCATGTTTTCATCATATTTACCACTTCCCCCAACTCCTCCCAGATCCATCTCCCTCCCCCCCACACCCCATTTTGTGCATCCTCAGTTTTTAACCCATCAAGCCCAGTTTGTTACCCGTGTGACAAATGGGTGGATGTTCAGTGGAACACGGTTCAATGACCTGAGACCACGCCCTTAAAGAGACCTAAAGGAAATGGTCTCTCCCTTTCCTGTGACTTACCAGCTGCTAGCAGCTCTGACCATTGTAACCTTACCCGGAGCGAAGAGAAGAGAAAGCTGGGGTGAGTTGACAGCTGCCTGTTTGATCCCTCAAACCCTGGAAAGAAAAAAAGAAGAGAAAGAAACCTACATAATTCTCTTCTCTTTGTCCCCAGCAATGAAAATGCGGATGACACCCTCTGGCTGAAATGTGGTGTGGGCTTCACCCGGTGTCCCCTGTGGTGTGGAGGCTGCTTGACCTTGCTGGGTTGGTGGTTCCTGGCATCCTCCCAGCCCTGGAACTGCTCTACAACCCTAAATAACCCCACTTGTGCGCCATCAGACACAGAGAGCATTTCCCAGATGAATTGCCCATGCACAGATAATCAAATAAATCTTTGTCTCGCTACCTGCAGTCTGGACGCCCTGCAAAGTTACACAGGACACAGCATAGATCAAATTAAGGCCCAGAAGCCTGGGTGGCAGGGACAGCTCAGGCCTGGGTCTCCAGGCCCACCACCCCAAGCACAACCTGCTCTTCCAGCCACACTGTGGCTTTGAGAGACGTATTATTGACTGGCAATTCTACTACCCAGGTGAGCGCCAAGGCAAAATATCCAGGTGGAGAGGGGGTGGAGAAAGGAGGAGATGAGCCAGCTTCCCCTGTGACATGAAAAATTTTACTTACCCCAAACCTCTTCCCCGAGCTAAGGGCAGAATAGAATCGGGTGCTGCCCACGGTCTACTCCACCCCTGAAGAGCAGGGGCTGCCTCTCTCCTCTCTCCTGACAGAGAATGTGATCACAAATCGGGAGCCAGATGGCTGCTTTATGTTTCTTTTTTTTTCTTTCTTTCTTCCTTCTTCTTTTTTTTTTCCTCTCTGCAATACTAAAGCCACCATAAAAAAGCAAAGTTGAGCAGACAAAGCTAATAATATAATCATTCAAAACACCTGCAAACCGCGCAGATGGGCAATTTCTGTCTGCAGAGCCACCAGCGAAAGACGCCTCCCCATATGGGCAGTTCCAGAAGTCGCTTTGCCCAGTTCTGTCCCTTACCTTAAGAAAACCTGCACACAACATATGCACGCTTTTTATAGTCAAGCTAGAGACCGAAGGCTGATTATTTATGTCCTTCTGCCGCTCTTAGAGACTTACAACCTGCAAGGGATCCAGCCACCTCAGCTCCCCAGGTGCAGAGAGACCCAGGAGGAGGCCAAGGACCCCTGGGTGACATCAGGTGGCTCATAGTTGGGGCACAAACAATGGCCATTGTCTGAGAATGGCTCCACCCCCCTCACCCAGTCACCTCCCAGCATCCTTGAAATAAACAACCTCCAAAAGCCAACAGCCCTTTCTATTGGAAGCACAAAAAAAAAAAAAAAAAAAAAAACAGAATTCGTAGAGAAAAAAAAATTCCTACGCAGAGCTGGCTTCCTCGTGGGCTTTTTCACTCCACTCTTCACAGCCACCTGCAATGCTACTCAGTTCCAAAGAAGAAAGAGAGGGGCTGCAGGTATCCTGAAGCAGGCGAGCCTTAGGCTGCTGCTATACAGGGCCAGCCCTGGGAATTCAGTCACTCCCTCAGCTCTACCCCATTACAAAAAAAAAAAAAAAAAGGGAGACAGAGGAAATTTCCCAAGAAGCCCAAGACCCGATGATCACCTGTGCATTGTGGGCTTGCGATTCTCTCTGGGTCCCACGCGCCATCGGTTGTTTCTAAGCCACACGGTACCTCGTTCTCTGTGGCTGAGTGCAGACGGATGGGTGGGTGAAGGAGGGCTGGAGGTAAATCTTAGGCTGTTCACTATGGGGCAACAGTTAGATGATGTCTGTCTCCAGACCAGGGCTACGTGGGCCATTGGTGTAAGCACTGTGGAAGGTCAGGATGGGACAGACTAGGGATGCCCACTCCACCAGTACAAACACATTTGGATGACTCAAGATAGACTACTGCTCCAGGAAAAGGCCAGAGTCCAGCTGGAAAAACCAGAGAAGCCCATCCATAAAGAGCTTTGTAGATTTCTGTCTCTACACATACACGGAGTGACTCCCTTCTCTCTATTGTCACCTCTGTCAAGGACACTCAGGTGTCATCACCTCCTTCAGATGGCATGATCTCTCCTGGACCCGCTATTCACACTGCAAGCAGGGAGAGTCTTGAGGGCAGAACCCAAGCGCCCCTCCCTTAGTATTCACCAGCATCTTCCCATGGGCCCTTCACAGGACTATCAAATCCTTCTTACGAGGGAGGAGTTGAGACATTTGGGGACAGTCCATGCTAGAGTAACCAAATCAACACACGCTAAGTATGAGTGAGAGAAGAGCATTCATGACCTCACATAGAAATCTAGAATAAAGAGATGCACCCACTTGGCTAGTTTGCTGATTCAATGGTGCGGTCAAAGATATAGTTTTCTTGCCCCTGTGCTGGTATCATCAAAGTTGGTTTTTCCCTCCAGGATGGGCCTCCAGGATGGAAGATGTTTGTAGAAAATTCAAGTATTATCTTTTGCACTCAGTATTCCTCAACCCCCCTCACCCTCACCCCAAAAGAAATCCCATTTCTTTGTTCCTTCTTAAAACCTAGGAAATACTTCTGGAAGTCTCTGCCCAGTCCTGCCCTGGTATAAGCAGGCTCTTCTCACACATACGTGTGGGCAGCGGGGTATCACCCAACGCTTACCCAAAGCAGTCTTGCAAGGATACATTTGCATTGTTCAGACTAAAGGAACATGAATCTCCTGGATTAGAATGGAGTCCAAGTTTCCCACAGTCTTAAGACTATACTTAGTGGAACAAAATCAAGGCTTTTTTTTTTTGAAGATCTCCCGGTAGGTGCCGCATTGTCTGCCATGGGGGCTCTAAGACCGGCCAGATATCCGCTGCCCGCCTCCCTCACTGCGGTCCGCCTACCCTACCCACTGGCCCATACATCAACGTGAAGGGTGAGTGCCTATGGTGGTGGCTCTTGTTTAGCTGTGACAAAAATACCTAAGAAAGGTTAAAAGAGGAACGGTTTCTCCCAGCCCATGGCTTCAGAGTGTTCCTTCCTGGCTGTTTGGCCCATGTGCTTTGGAAGACCATCAAAGTGCTGGGATGGACGCGATGGTCTTCTTGTTGCACAAGATGCATTGTGAATGGGCACACAGGAAAAGGCCAGGAACAATAGTCCCTTCCCCCAAAGACCCACTCCCCAGGAACTACTTTCTCCAGACAGGCTAGACCTTCCAAGTTCCCATAATCACACAAATAACACCAAGTATAAGGCACGTAACCACAGTTGCTCATGAGCCAAGCATGGAACAAAGCCTCCCCATTAAGCAAAATTATCAAGATGGGCCTTGTATCTCCAGAATGATGGGTAGAATTCAAAAATCATGGAAGACTGATTATTCTTGTGTGTGTGGGTGTTCATGTAAATGTAACCACCAATTAGCTTTTCTGATATTTTATTTTATCAGGAAGAATAAAAGGCCCTAAGACAGATATTAGGGTTCAAGCTTCAAGCTGAAGATCAGAAAAGCAAAGCAGCCAGCCACTAGCTCTTACCTCTAGCTCAGGTTGAAATGGCTGGTCCTGAACCCACCAGCTCTCATCAAGCCTCAAACAGCTACCTCTCCTCAGTGTGGATGGTGAAAATCCTGATACTGAAAACCAGCTCTGGGACCCTGTTCCTGTCTTAAATACCTCTCATGAGTTCTGGGATTAAAGGTGTGAGCTCTAATTCTCTTTTAGACTGATTCACTCTAATGTATCCCTGGGTGGCCTTGAACTAACAGAGATCCATCAGCCTATATCTTCTGAGTCCTGGGATTAAAGGTGTGAGCCATCACCTCCTGACCTCCATAGCTTGTGGCTGACTTTGCTTTCCGAATCCTCAGGCAAGCTTTAACAAAACATGAGTAATATATCACCACATTTTATAGGACCAGTTATAAAGATATTGTTATTGAAATAGTAGAATGTTTGCATTTTGAAACGCATAGCCATTAAGTGTTTTAGGTGATGAGTTTTGACAAATATAGCTAATATTCATACCCAGAAAAATTCAAGAGGCCCCCCGTTGTTTTAGCCAGGAAAATCTTTTATGTACACCTTTCAGCTAACTGCCTTTCCTCAGGCAGCTACTGCTATGATTTCTGTCACCACATACTAGTTTTGGTTTTTTCTAGCATTAATTT